AATAATAAAGAAAACACAAATATAACTAAATGCACCTAAGTGTTCCCCAACAAAAACACACTCACACAAAAATCCTTGTTGAATACAGCAAAAAAAAGAAAAACTCCCCTTCCACTCGTCTCCTCAATCTAAATAAAACAGCCTAGGACCCAGGGACAGCATAGGTCCAGTTTAAAACAAGCCAGGGGGCTTCAATAGAAACTCCCTTTCCCTAAACAAAACCAAAACAAGAAAAGTTATTTTAATCAACAATAACCATATAAAAATAAGTAAACTAAAACAAAAAATGAAATTGAAACAAATCAAAAACTGAAACAGCAGCAGGCCAACCTTCTCTAAAGTGAAACCAGTAAACGTTGCTCTTGACGTCTCTCTCTAAACTACGTTTCCTTTGCACTAGTCATCGGCCTGCATCTGATCTCCTCAGCGATCACCTGCTTTTATATGTAAGTGCCGATTACCTAACAAGCCAGCTGCGCTCTGTCGCAGCGCAGTGATAGGCAAATGAAGCCTCATGAAGCAATGAAGCTTTCCAACCCTTTGCTTTGCAAAAAGGTTCATTACTCGATGCTTCATTCATTGCTCACTAGTGACATCTGCTGGTGAAACTGTAACAGTCTTGTCACTCAGTTGGATCATACTTCCAAAAATTACTAAATGCAATATTGTCAAAGTTTTCATCAAACTCATGTTTAGTAACAGGATAATCATTGAAACCATATTTAATTGTCATATGTTTTAATTATTAAAATTATTTGTAGCCAATCTAATTCTGGTATGTTGAATGTCAGTGGTGATATGATATGTGGACAGTTTATTATTACATGTAAAGGTCATTATTATGTTTATTCAGTTAAAAATATTAACTATGAAAAAACAGAGTCACCTCCAAATCATAGTGCAGCAAATAGAGCAGCTGCTCCCGCTGTCTTTTATCCACCGCCTTTTCTTTTTGTTTCATCTTTTATCTCTTAAAATGTCTCCACAAACTGTCACTATTGCTTCTACATCATCATCCGTGTTTGGTTATTCTAAATTCCCTTATTTAGGGTTGGGGGTTTTACTGGATTATCCTCTGGAATCGGGATGTTCGTGACTGGACTCGGTTCGTGTTGCTCCTGCCTTGAGGCTGAACACGAACCGAACCTGTTGGACTTTTATCAGCTCTGTGGTCACAGAGGTTTGGAGAATCGGCCGACAATCTTAAATCTTGCCGTCTAAACCAGACTTAAGACTCACAGCTCTACTCATCTCCTCTCGACCACTGCCCAAACGCTCTGACTCTGGTCGCTATGGTAACGTTTACATATCCCTTCAAAATAAGATACAGATACGCCACAAAAACGAACATTTTACTTTCTTGAAAATTTTAACTCACGATAATGACTAACGGGAGCCCTGAGCTTGTTTCTCTGCAACGAGACGGTCCCATCAGGGAGTGATGGGAGACAACGACACCCGAAGTGTTGCTTATATCCACAGCCTGCTTGGTCTCTAGTGGCAAAGCAGCTTGAAGCTTCATTGCCTCATTAGCAGCCGGTCGCCGCATGTTACACAGAGCGGCTTGTAATGTTTGACTCACCTACCGGTCCGGGATAAATCCATCCTCCTGTCTCTTCTCTGGGCCTTTTCCCCTTTGCAAAGAAACTTTCCAAAGACACCTGATCTGTTTCTTACTCATTTTGCTGCTTGTGGCTCAGTGTTGGCGCGCAAGAAACCGAGAGAATCCGGTTAAATGATTTTCAAAATAAAAGATCCTCCAGTCTCAAATAATACATAAAACGGAAATATTTAATTATTTCTTGCGCGGCCCACTGGTGTAGCACATTTCAGCAACAATGCAGTTCAAAGAGATTTACATCATAAAATCACAAAAATATAGTTATAAAAAAAAAAAACATAATCTACATGAGAAAACCAGTAACTAACATTACATTTTGATGAGTGCCATCATCAATACACATCAAATATATTGGTCAGTGTTCATTTTATTTGGCCACTGAAGGAAAATATCTTCCTCTGATGCGTGACCAAATGGACAACAACCCATGAAGCAGCAAGGCTCATCGTGCTTTTATTTTGAAAATCGACACGCAAAATGAAGCAGTCACGTGATCCATGCAACGGGAGGCCTCGTTTGTTGCCAGTCACGTGGTTTTCAGCAAGATGATACAAGCCTTGAAGCAAGGCTTCATCGGACACGCCCCCTTTTAACCCGGATTCAGATGGTCCGTCACTAGCGAAGCTTCGTCCGTCACTAACGAAGCTTCGCCCGAGCAGTTGAAGCTAACGCTCTTTTTGGCCGAAGTTCGTGAAGAAGAAGCAGTGAGAAGAGCGGTGAGTTCGCTCCTGTTAACCAGCTACTTCTCTGCTTTTGCAGGTAAGTTGTGATGTACATAATATATTAGTGATGAACACCAGTAGTATGAGATCATAAGGGCCTTGGAGTGCAACGGATGTCCGTCTAAAGAGTGAATTTACAACTTAAGGGGCTTGTAAAGATGATTCGCCGCAGTGTGTAGTTAAAATGGCGGACTGTTCGGTGGATTGCAGTAATGAGCCATAGAACTGCTTCATGTGTTTGTGAGCTAAACATAAGCTAGCTTAAAGAGGCACATACCGTCAGTAAAAGCATGAACCTGAGGCCTAAAACCGACGTTGAACGTATTAAATGTGTCATATGACCAGATACTGGTGTGAACTGAAGTACTGAGTTAGTTTTTTTCAAGCTAAGCTATAGAAGACACATGTGGTCCTATTCACATATAGGACGTGTGGTCCCATATGAATAGGACCACATGTCCTATTCATATGGGACATGTGAATAGCGAAAGACGTGCGGTAAATGTCTTCAGGCCTGGACTAAGGCCTCCACACATGGGTTGTGTTTTTCCCCTGCTCCACCACAGCAGCCATGTTGCTTTGCTTTTAATTCATATTCAGTTTGTTGTTGTGCGTCTGTAGGAGAAGATCAAAGGGAGTTACATTGTTTTGGCAAAACCGTAGTGTCAACTTGATTGTGACCCAATTTAAAATGTCCCTACAAAATGAGACCAAAGCAAAGGCGTTGAGGCGTAACACTCCGAATCAAGACCAGAAAAGAAGCAATGAGACGTCCTTCTGAGGTAGGTCCATGTTTTTACCTGTCATAGTCATTATGCTGTTATTAGAGGTGGTTTTATTTTTCTGTTATTTGGGTGAAATAATTTGTGAATTTTTCTGTTACTACTAAATAGAAATGCTATGGTCTATAGTTCAGACCATAGCAAGAAGAGACAGGTTTTCACGGTGCTACTTCTCATTTTATTTTTTGAAGACTGTCATAGGTGGACTCATTCCCTTTTTTAAGCAGTTACTGCTGTTTTGTTATTTTAATCTTGCTTGTTTTATCTCCATTCTGTAGAAATTCATATTTTAGTAGCATATGTCATTTTGTACAGCTCCATGGTGGAGTTTCAAGCAGCCAAGAATAAATATGGCAGTATGTTGTGAACCTTGGTGGCATGTATTTCCTGGAGGAAGTGATGATGTTGGTTCTACAGGCTGACATCTGGACCAAGCAGAGGAACAGCCCTGTTCAGGTCCAAACACCAGATGCAGTCAGGTGGGTCTATTTGGAATGGAGACCTTCTTATTAATGAGTTGTACATTTTATTGTCCATGGAAATTTCAGCTGTTTTAAAGCAAAACTGTCTTGATTGTTAAGAATTGGGATGAAATTTACTCAAGGTTCAAATGAATGTTCTGATAATCAGGTTCTACGTCTCTTACTGCTCCATAGGATAAATTATATTCAGAAATTTTTATTTTTCTTCTTGACCATCATTAAAATTCATGTTTGTTTGATTTTTGAATGGGTGTTTTCCAGGATGGAGTCCGTCGTGTTGGGTGGTCGCGTCCTGACTCACGCAGAAACACGGTAAAGGTAAGAGGTTTCTTCACAAGAGATTAGAAAAGTGCAGATGATGGAGTCACTCTGAGCTGGATGTGGGATTGTCTGGAGGGGGCTGGTTGACCTTTTGACCTCTAACCTTTCATTAATATCTTAAAAGCCAAAGCAGCACAAACGAAAATTTTTGCTGCATAAATGTTTGACATGAATTTTTTCTGATTTGAAGACGGTGGGGGCGACTTCACTCAGGTATTGTTGCATTCTTCATTTGTGATGCTCTCCAGGCTTTGACTGCAGCTTCTGTCAGTTCTTGTTTGTTTCCCTTCGTTCTACTCTGCAGGAGGTGAAATGCGTTCTCTGCTGGGTTAATTGGCCTTAAACCTTCCACTGATGAAGTCCTGTGTTTTGCTGGCAGTGTGTTGTGGGTCATTGTCCTGCTGCATGATTAAATTCCTCCTGATTAGTTTGGATGGATTTCTCTGTAAATATTTCAGAAAAATGTTTCAGTACAATTCATTCTGCTACCATCCTCAGTAACATCATCATTAGAAATGAATGAGCCTGTTGCAGAAGCAGTCATGACATTACCTCCGTCATGCTTCACAGATGAACTCATGACCTTTGGATCCAAAGCAGCCATTTTCTTTCTCCACACTTTTTCATTTCCTTCCCTTTGGTAGAGATGAATGTTGACCTCATCAGATCGTTCCACAGCTCTGAACGATCAGCATTAAACAAGACACACCTCAGTGTTTTTGTTAAAATAAAGTGAGGTTTGTCCTGAGTTAACACATCTTCATGTAACAACCAGGAAGTAAGGGCTGAACTCTTTTTCTCATATTGATCTCAAACCAGAAGGTCTTCAGTGTTCAACAAAAACAAAGGAATTTGTCTTGCTGTCTGATACTGGTAATAATAATAATAACCTTTATTTAACCAGGTCTCCTCACTGGGATCAGATGAGTCCTGGCCGGCAGCATTCAGTTCTGATGGACCTTCTGCTCATTCTCATAGGAACGCTGAGCGCCTGTCGCTGACGACTCGTCCGTTAAATTCAGCGACTTTGTGAGGAAATAAAACAGAAAACCTTCAGATGGATTTTAAGCTCTTTATTTCTTGTAGTTTATAAAAGACTCAACCAGCGGAGCCTGAATCAGAGTAAACTCCATCAGTCATCTGTTTCTGTTTTGGTGAAGCTTCATGCATTAGTGGAGCTGGATCAGGGGGCGGGGCTTACAGGTAAACGGTACAGGTGAGCAGCAGGAGTTGAACACATCTACTCCAATGAGCCAATCAGCTGAAAGCACGAAAGCACATGACCTGAGTGTTAAATCATCCAGCATAACAAGGAGGGGAACCATGTAACCATGGCAACAAGGCAGTCAGAGCTCCTGATTGGTTAATGAGGTTAACGACCAGAGGAGGCTGAGCAGCAGGTTAGCTTTGAGTTTCTTCTTCTCTCCTCTGAGACGGCCGCATGCTGAGTCTGGGAGAAAAGAAAAGAAGAATTTAGAACAAAACGTCATGAAATTTAATTTGCAGAAATGTAATCTTAAACCTGAGATCAAAACCAGAATCTGTTTAATTTACTCAGAAGCAAAGAGTGACTGAGCTCATAAGGTCTCAGACTTTTAAATATGAATATATAAACAGCAAGAACAGCACTTGAAACAATGATACATGTTTAAAACAGATAACTGGTGTTTTGCACACAAGTTTCCTAGCCATAGGCTAATCTACAAACGCAGTCATTGGATGGAAACTATTAAAAGAGAGTCAAATTAAAATGAAAGTTTGTCTCTCACACGATGAATTTCATGGCTGAGTTGCTCAAGAGCAGGAAAGTCCAAGTCCATCCTGGAGAGCTGCCCTACCGTAACCTTCACATGGATCCCTTCTCCATCTCACTGCTGGAGCAGGGATGCATCTAAAGGTTTCAGGGACCAGACCTGGCCCCCCTACTCAAGAGCTCCAAAATAAAACTGAGAAACATAACAGAAGGTTTGAACAAATCATGTCCAGGATGTGTGTGGTCTGTAAATACATTAGAACCTCGTTTCCTGACTCTTGACCTGCAAGCCCTGGAAGGTCAGATGTTATAATCCTCTCTGAAGATCCGATTGTTCTGTATTGGTTCTGTTCTGTTTGTGTCTGGACTAAACCAGTCGGTGAATAGACACAGGACAGACTGACCAGCCTGCATCAGTGTCAGTGTGTCAGTCGGCTCAGGAAAAGATGGATCCTGGAGACCTGAGCTGATTCCTGATCATAACGGAGTTTACTGCCAGCTACAGTAAACTCAAAATGAACTTTGGCTGATAAACAGTCTAAGAAAACAAAATGTTTTTATGAAACAACGGTTGACCACCTGAGATCAGGAAACTTTCTCTGCCCAAATTATATCAGAGTCAAAACAGAAACTGTTCTGGTATTGATCTGAAACTGAAAGAAAATTACAAAAAAAAAACAAAGAAAAACTCTGACAGACCATAATGAGACTCAAAAGGAAAAAGAAAGTAGAGGAATATCTAGAGCACAGAGTTGAAAATGGAAGAAATTATTTGTCCATCTATGTTCTAAGATGGTCGCCTCGGTGCTTTGTTCTCTGTTACGCTGTTTAGTTCAGTCCTGCTGATCTCCAGCCATTTCAGTCAGAGAGCAGCTCCTCAATATTTGTTCTCTTTCTGCTCTCTGGCATTTTGTCTGGTTTTAACAATCCAGAGAACAAATCAGACGATATAAGAAAGGAGAGCAGCTCCATCTGAAAGCCTGTAAGGAGACACATTATGAAGCTGCCTCAGTCAGAACGGCTTGTCTGACCCGTTGATACAAGGTCCAGACTGACCCTGATGAAGGAGGCTGGACCTGCTGCTGGGTCAGACTGTCCTTCATCCACCGGCCTGAACGTCAGAGGATGAACATCTGACAGCAAACATGGAGGGAAGCAACCAGACTTAGTATTGACCTGCAGAGTTTTAACAGCATAAACTGGCAGTGAGCTGAAGGCATGGTGAAGGCATGGTGAAAGCCTGGTAAAAGCCTGCTGAAGGCATGGTGAAGGCCTGGTAAAAGCCTGCTGAAGGCATGGTGAAGGCCTGGTAAAAGCCTGCTGAAGGCATGGTGAAGGCCTGGTAAAAGCCTGCTGAAGGCATGGTGAAGGCCTGGTAAAAGCCTGCTGAAGGCATGGTGAAGGCCCCTCCCTTCACCAGGCTGGTCACCTGAACCAGTTACTTAGCATGTTCGCTGAATCTATAAAAACAAAGATAACCCAGTCGGACATTTCCTCATGTTGTCTGTCTGGGATCGTATAGTGCCCTCTAGTGGTGACCTTTGTAATGGCACTCTGGACAGCTTATATAATACCAAATTTAAATTCTTTGACATTCTGTTGTCCCCAACGTAGTCCATCTAATCAGAATAAATAATAAATTAATAAATAAATTAATATACAAACTAACTTTCTCCTGTTAAAATTAACTGTAGTTAATTTGAAAAGTTTCTCACCTACTGAGCTGCAGGTTCAGGCTGATCTGCTGCTTTAGGGACTCCAGTCTGCTCAGGAGAGATCATCATCATCATAATCATCATAATCATAATCATCCTGTCTGAATCAGTCTCTGTTTTCAGTCAGTTTGTTAGTTTTATCAGTGGAACTGTCATCACTCTGATAGAGACAAATGAGGCAGAAATGTGTTGATTTCTGCTGAACGGAGGATTAAAACTATTCTTTGTAATTCAGCATTAATTTTAATAGAGCAGAAAAGTAAAGCAGATTCATCAGATATCAGACTTTAATTTCCCTCAACATCCAGCAAAACATCTGATGCAATAGACAGATATATCCAATATATATACATATATACAATAGATATATTGTTTTCTTACAATCTGTTTTATTGTTTATTTTTATAAGCTGTTTTAATTGCAGCTTATAAAAATAACAAGATGACTAAAACTAGTTATTATGAATTCTTATCAGTTAAATCCATCCAATAATTTGGTCTTCTGTTAGTTAAATTATGAGTTTTCAGAGCATAAAGCATCATGCTGCGTCACAACAGCCCAACCAATCAGGCACCTGCTCTGCTGCTGGCCCCGCCTCCTCCTGAATCCAGCCAACCAGAGATTTACCAACAAAAGAAAACATTTTTAAAAAACTTGCATGGCAGAAATTATATCAGGAATTAATCATTCAAAGTAGATTTATGTAATTAATAACTTTAAAAAAATATTAGTTTAAAAAAAAGTACATTTAAATGAAATAGACAAAGACTTTGTGTTTTAGGTTTGCTGCTCACTGATGTGACGTCACTCACCGTTTTGACCAATCCGCTCGCCAGCGCCGCGTTCTCCACGCCCTCCACAGTCGCCTGGGCAACCTCGTTGGCCCCGGTAACCGCAGTGTCGGCAACAACGTTGGCCTGTTCGGTGGATTTCTGAGCAACTGGGCAACAGAAACCAGCAACATTTAAAACATCAAATGTTTCAATGTGAGAGTTTAACAAACATTTACAGCTTTCAACGATCTGATCGACTCAGATCTGACCAACCTGGGGGACATTAATGTCCATCTGGGGGACATTAATGTCCATCTGGGGGACATTAATGTCCATCTGGGGGACACCATGTCCATCTGGGGGACACCATGTCCAAAATGTGTAAATATTTGTTTTCCTGTTGATTTACCTCTGAACATTATTATAATTTAAAATGTTTTTTATTAATTGTTTTGGATTATTTAATGACTAATTCTAAGTTAAATGTGGAAACAACAGGACTCTGTGAACAAAAATTCTAATTTATTAAACTTGTATTTATTGAACTAGTTTAACCTGAGAGGTAAAGGTGATATTGCAGAAGTCATGAGTTTTTATAAACCGTTAAAGTCCCAGGAAGCAGGAAATAATAAAATAAATCATTAATCTCTGACCATTCGGCTCACCTGTGTTCACGCTCGTCACCACTCCCTCCATCGTCTTGTTTCCTGTAAAACATCAGAAGTCAGATTCAAAACATTTCACTGTAAAACTGAGACTGGAGCTAAATTTAAATCTGTTTTTATTTGTTCACGTTGTGAACAAACGGGTGAGGAAGACGAGGACCAAGATTCTGATCTTCATCATGTCAGCAGCTGAGCCGAGTCCAATTCTGGTTCTGACCCGATTCCACCTGCAGAATCATTCATTTATTCATTCATTCATTCATTCATTCATTCATAATCACACTTGTGCAAAATGTGCATAATCTGTATTTCAACATTACATTAAGTGAGAAGTAAACAACAGAAATGTTCAGGTGAGAGTAGTTCATTAGTTTGGGAGCATTGGTGGAGCAAACAGGAAGTGATGCAAACAGGAAGTGATGCAAACAGGAAGTGATGCTTTATCTTTGTAAACTAGAACCTGAAACTTTGATAAGTTAGAAAAACTTCTTTTGGTTTTCAGAGGAAATATGAACCAAACTGCTGGGATGAGCTTTAAACACTTTATTATTATTATTATTATTATTATTGTTATTATTGTCCTGGCGCCCTCTAATGGACTCCAGAGGAACTGTTGTCCAGGTTCTGTTGGACCAGTCCGGGTTCTGTCCATGTTCTGTTGGACCGGTCCATGTTCTGTTGGACCATTCCAGGTTCTGTCCAGGTTCTGTTGGACCGGTCCTGGTTCTGTCCAGGTTCTGTTGGACCGGTCCTGGTTCTGTCCAGGTTCTGGGCTCTTGGCTCTGTCTGTGGTGTCGGGTCGGACAGAACCGGTTCTCTCTGGTCAGCTGGTCTCTGTTTCCCAGCAGTGTGAGGCGTTCGGGGGAATCGGAAAGATGAGCTTCTGATGAGTCGAAGCAGGAAGTCAGAGATGATAAATATTTGATGGATGGATCATTTTCCTGCTTCGCTTCATTTCATTTTTTTAAAACTCGTTAATAAGATGTTTGGTGAAAATCTGAACTTTAAAATTAAATGACACCAAATAGATGAAATGTTTTATTATTGTTACCCAAAGCAAAACATTTAATTTGTTTAGACAATTTAATAACAGCCTAAATGTTCCTGCAGCAGATCAGTGAATAATAAATGAGCTGCAGCCATTTTATGACTCTAAAAGCTGGAGGTTATTTATACTCGAACCAGGAATGGTTGGTCTGACTTTGGGCTTTTAATTTGAAAAGACTTTTGACGTTTTGCCTTCATCAAACAAAGTGGAACATGAATGAGGTCAAAGGTCAGAGTGGAGCCTCACATCATGGAGAAACGTGAGTTAGAGATGAACTCTGGATTTATTAGATCAGTTTTATTCTTTCATCCAGATATCAGATTAAATTTATTCTTAAAGTTTTCGTTTTTATTTTCTGTTATTGTTTGCATTATTATGATTATCTATTATTTACTTTTTTATTCCTAATAAATGAAACTGAATGAGTGGAAACATTCATGTTTTACAGTGTATTAATGTGAAGGAAACATTTGATTTAATATTTGAGTTCCTGCTCATGTTTTCACTCTGCAGCCCATCATATGATTTTATCTGGCTTTTTATTAATTATCTCATTAATTTTCCTCTCAGATGATAAAATAAATTCAATATTTTCTTCTGCAGATTTAAACCATCAGCCATGACGACTCAGCGTTTCTCTCATCCTGATGGATTTTATCTTTAATATTTAAAACCCAGCGTCTGTTTGTCTCTGTTTTAATCTTCCATGTTATATTTCATTTATTTTCTCCTGAATATATTTAATATTGTGACGTTTGGTGGAAGTTTTAAATCTTTATTTGAATAATTTTGTTCTTTCCTTCCATATTGAACGTGAAGCAGATTTTAAATGTTTCTGCATTTCCTCTGATCCTTTAATTTTGTTTTTATTTTCAGTCTCTTAAATGATTTTAAGACTTTAATTACTTTTAAAACAATCTGTCTCTTTTTCATTGAGGTAAATGTTTCTCAGGTTTTTCATTTCTCTCCTTGTTTTCTTCCTCTAATCCCTAAAAATAAATTATTGTTAAATATTATTAATTTTTTAGTTGGATAATCTTCAGTTTTTAATCCTTTATGCCACTTTAGCTGTTTTTCTCCAGATTTCACTGTAAGAAGTGACCCTGTTGGGGTCAAAGGTCACGGTGGTCTTACCCACATACATGACCCCGTCCTTGGTCTTGGTGGCGGCCTCGCCCACGCCGGCCTTCGTCTTCTCAGCGGCGGCGGCCACGCCGTCCTTGGCCATGGAGAATCCCTTCCTCAAAGCGTCCATGATGAAGATGATGAAGATGAAGATCCTGTCCTCTGTCCTCTGATCTGTCCTCTGCTGCGTCCGTCTCCGTCTGCCTGCAATCCTCCTGCTGGAGGCGGAGCTGCGTCAGGCAGGGAGGAGCCGACACGGAGGCGCCAGCAGGAAGAGGATTCAGATTCCAGGAACTTCCTGAACTGAGAAACATTTTTATGATCATTTATTGATGTTTGTGCCGAAGCAAACGGCAACAGAAGAACCGCAGCTCAGGAAGGTTCTGGCTCTGGTTCTGGTTCTGGTTCTGGTTCAGTCGATGTGAACCTGCAGGATCTTCACATGGAGACACGAAGACACTGCAACTCCCTGCAGACATGAACGTGTGAGCGACCCGCCCAGAGTCACACCACCACCATCATCATCATCATCATCATCAGGACACATTATGCTGAGGTCCAGAAACCTGCTGGGACCAGAACCAGGCGGTTCACACACACACACACACACACACACACACACACACACACACACACACACTCTTTCTGAGTGACTCAGCAGAACACACTCTGCGCTCTGATTGGTCCATTATTTTTAGATGCTTTTATTTCATTCCCTCCCAGATGGACTGAAGGCAGCATTATGGGATGCTGATGGTTACCATGACGACGAGGCCGACCCATCAGCTGTGATCGATACCGACCATCAGGCGTCTGTTTTACTGATAATCGTTCTGCTCATATTATCATCATATTATTATAAAACTTATGTTTAGATTCTGTTTGGTCTCTTTTAATATTCTTGTGACTCCAGAGAAAAACTGAACATGAGACGATAAAATGTTAACAAATAAAATGTTTTTCAGAATCTGAGATTAAAACCAGAAATCTGTAAGAGAAGCAGCTCATGACTCAGATCAGCTGAGTGAGGAATGTCTCTGCTGCCTGCTAATGGAGCTCTGAGGGGGTCAGAGGTCAGGGGGCGTTCCTGCTGACTGCAAGCAGACCTGCTGGGCCTCCAGAGGTTCTGCTGACTCATCAGAACCTCCAACAGGTCCATAAAGGACAAACTCAGCCAGAGGTTTTATAAACTGAACATTTAATCTGGATTACAGGTTGAATCAGAACCAGACTTCTTTCTGCTCTGAGGTCTGAAAACGTTAAAGGAGATGAGAACAAGGTGGATCCTGGAGGGCCTGGACCCTCCACCACAGCAATAAAACAACTTTATTATTGATCTTAATAAATAATTATCAACTGATAAAATATTTTAAATAAAATACAATAACTTTTATGGAAACATTTAATCCCCAAGTTCCTGAAAGCTTCAATTATTAGAATATTTAAAGATGAACAAGGAACTAAAACAGGAAACAGTTTAAACTGTGAAATAAAATGCAACCTGGAGGAGGTGCTGCCACCTGCTGGTCAGACAACCAGCATCACATCAGCCTTACCAGAACCACCAGCTGAATCCGTTAATGTTTCAGTTCAGAGACAAAAATAATAATAAGAAAAGACTCAAATTAAAATGTACTTTCCAAGTTTAGCATGTGAATAAAAAGGTAAAAGTTTAACATAAAAGGTTTGCTTTTTTATTTTAATGTAAAGTTATGAATGAGTCAATAGATGATCTGATCGTCAGGAACCTCGGAGATCCAATTCATTAAATCGGACCTGGTTCTGGTTCTGTCGTCAGAATGAAGAAACGTCTGAAATAATGAGACTAAAGCATCTTAACCTCTTATTTCTACCACAAATATAAAGATTAAAACACGAATCTGGTTGTTAATGAGAATCAGAACCTCATTTCTGCTGTTCTGTAGATTTACAGAAAACTAGAAATGACGTTAGCAAATCTACTTTTCTGAAAACTGAAAGATTATTTTATGTTCAGCCGTCAGTAAAAACCTGAACACAAACAAAACTAAATGTTTGAGATTCATCCTGTTTGGATCAACAGGGACTGAAGCAGAGTAAAATATTTATAACTCATTTTAAAAGTCGCGTCATAAAAATCTGCAGCACTGTTAGATCAGTTATTGTTTTAAAATAATTAGAAAATGTGATATCTGAGATGTTTCCTTATTAAACAAGCAAACAAATTTTCATGTTTAAGAAAATTTGTCAAAATTTGTTAAAAGTGTTGGTAAAAAAAACCCATTTACATTTCTTGTCTGTATTTTGTGATCGATGAGGAGCTGCAGCAATAGCGCCCCCCTGTGGTCAGAAAAGGAAGCGCTGAAATGAAAGCAGAGTTCTGCTCTGATAAATGAAGACGGATCAGGCTCAGGAAGTGACGTCACAGAGAAACTTTTCCTCGGTGGTCCGTAATTATGTTTATGTGGTGATAAAGTCTCTTATTTGGTTGTTTTGTCTGTGTCTGATGTTATTAAACTCTTTAAAATATCTGAAATTGTGATATTAAAAAGGAAAATGTAGGTTCAGGAAACAGAATCTAAAATTGTGATTATTCCAATTCAACTGAAGCAAATCGTTAAATTTGAGCATTTTTATAAAAATTTGTTTTTTTTTTGTTTGTTTTTTTCATTTTCTTTGACTTGCTGAAACGAACTGGGATCCACACAGTTTTCATCAGCAATGTGATGGCCAAATCCATGGCCACACTCTGAAGTCGGTAACCCTTTTATGCAGTTTATTTTTTCATTCAAACACAACACTTTAGTTTAAGTAAAATATTTATTAGTTGATTTGGATACATTTGTTCTTTATGTTAGCGCGCACATTTAGTTAACATGTGTATTTATATCAACTTTAAAGTATTATTTGCTTGCTTAAGATTAACTTTGTTTTCTTTTGCCGGTGCTTACTTCCCTTGGAGTGGCCAGACAGGAGATGGGGTCCAGGGCTCAGCAGGCATAGGTGCTAATTGGACTGCACCATTAGTTCCGGCTGGCAGGGGAAATTTGTAATTTCTTTATTTAGATAAGTTTTGTATTTAAGTAAATAGTAGTATTTAAACTTTAATATTTTTGATTTTCATTTTTTTTTGGGTTTTAGTTTAGCCAAACTTAGCTGTACTGTTAGTTGTTTGTGTTATTTGTAATTGTATTCCGTTTAGTTACCCCTATTGTGTCTTAATTGGTCTGATCAGCCAGTATATAAGCCAGTGTCATTTCTTTGTTAGGTCAATTATGTTTGTTTGTGCAGCCAGTTTGTTTACACTTTTTGCCTGAGTTCAGTTTTGTTTCTTTGACCTCTTTTATGAGCTCAGTTTATCTTGTCATTTATAATCTTTGGGTTAAAATAAAAAACCCTATTTTTCTAATTAATATCCTGTGACTCCTTCTGTTTTTTAACTCGGTCCATCACAAGCAACAACAATAAGTTTCATTTTGATGCCCTTTGTGTCTTCATGTCTCAGAGGAAAAATCATCGTCTGTATCTCAGCAGAGCAGAAAGCGACTCTTCCACATCGATGAACTGTTTCTTCTCTGTTTCACTTATTTTCCTCACTTTTAAAGAAACAGCACGGATTTAATTCTAACTTTATTAATCCAACATCAGTATGAATCCTCTGCAGCACCTGGCTCAGCCTGAGGGGGTCAGAGGTCACTCTAATCCACCAATCACAGATCAGCCTGCAGCCTTAAAGCAGCCATGTCTGTGGCGCTCTTTGCCTGGATCCAAATGAGGTTCAGTAAAAATGACAATTTCTTTTACTGTAACAGAGTTTTCTTATTTTTACTTACTTACTTTCTTATTCTCTGATTTTGCTTGGTTTACATTTACAGTATTTCAGTTTTCAGTCATAGTATAAAACTGGCATCAAAGCGTTTCTGGTTCTGGACCCAGTGAGCAGAAAGAGGCGATGTAACGGCTGCACCACTGGGGGGCGCCAGAGCTGTTCAGGCGGCGCAGCATGAGGAAAAATAAACCAGGAAAAGTGACGTCATCAGGATCCTGGCAGAAAAACGGACTCAGATCAGGAGCTGAACGTTCTGTGATGATTGATTGGGAGAATTAATTCAGCAGTTCTGCTGTTTGTAGACAATATTTGCTTTAGGTTCATATTTGGTGGGATTTACTGCTGATCAGTAAATCCCACCAGGAGGCACGACCTCCTCCTCTTCCTCCTCCTGCTCCTGTTGCTCCTCCTCCTCCTGTTTCTCCTCCTGCTCCTCCTCCTCCTCTTTAAAAGCAGCTGTGGTTCTGGTCTGGCTTCACACGGCCAGCAGACATGACAGCAGTGGGAGAACTGGTGCTGGTTCTGGGTTTACTGGTGAGCGCTCGCTGCGAGGTGAGAGCGCGGGACCCTGGGGTGGAGGAAGAGGAGGAGGGAGGAAGAGGGTTTGTGACGGAGACCCTCCTGCCAGCAGGAACTGGGATTTCTCCAGTCAGAACCGGGTGAGTTTCTGACCAGAACCGCCCCAGATTTAGAAGCTTCATTGCTGCTGATTGGACCTCCAGAACCGGGCCACATAGGTAGACCTCATGTAGAGTTTGGTTCTGTTGGGTTCTGATGGGTTCTGTCTGATGGGTTCTGATGGGTTCTGTCTGATGGGTTCTGATGGGTTCTGTTGAGTTCTGTCTGTTGGGTTCTGTTGAGTTCTGTCTGTTGGGTTCTGTTGAGTTCTGTCTG